ATGTTATCTGGAAAATGAAGGTGAAATATCTGTCAGTAAGCGAAACAATAGAATTTATCCTTAGAGCATTTTCTTTGCAATCACAGCTAAGAATTTGTTGGGGCTCAAAGAAAGTTAAAATACACATTATTTTGAATTTACATAGAAAAAAATAAAACTCTAGTAAAAGTGATTATGCATCTAATTAGAAAAGACTGTAATTACACATCTTTTCTTTCTCTTACTGATTTAAAAAGTTAAGTGCATAAGGCAATATCTTTCAAATTATATTGTTGTGGCTATAGCACATAGAATTGCCATATATTTGAAAATAAAGCCAAGTGAATGAAGCTATATTTGAAAAAAGATATGACAACAGATGTTAATTTCAATCTACAGAAAGAAATGAAGAAATGAAAAGCTAAGCACAGTAAATAATAAGCTTAATTAAAAGAAAAACTTAGTGAACATATTTGAGCTTTCCTTCTTCCTCTTAGCTTCTTAGAATGACATAAGTTTTATAGGGCAATAACTATAAAAATGTATTATTGTGTCTGATATATATTACACATACAAACATATACACATGTGAAAAATGAATCATAGCAAAAAAATGGGGCAAGGTAAGAGAGTCGTGTAGAAGTAAGGTTTCCATATCTTGGTCTGAGAATTTAGTTCAGGGGTAGAGTGTGTTTGAGCCTCAGAATTACAAAACAAGCCTATATAGTTTATTAGAATTAAGTTAGTATAGAGATTAGATAGAATCTCATTATTAAGATGTACCCCATAAAGCCCCTAGCAATTACTAAGAAGATAGCCCAGAAAGCATAGTTTAAAATTATTAAAGGAATTAAAATAAGATATTATAATATATTCAAGGAAGACAAAAGGATGTAGTAAAGAATTGAAAAGGGATAAAATAGAGGAAGACTGTTAATTGCTCTCCGTATCACTATGATCACTTCCCAACAAAAGGGAACTTACAGAGGAAGGATTTATTTGGTGCACAGTATGAGAAGGTAGACCAGTACATCATAGTTACGAAGGCAAGGGTATCAGGAGCATGGGGGACTGCTTGCAAATTCTCTAATCCAGAAAGCAAGGAGAGATGCTTGCCATTAATCAGCTTTAACTCAGTCCAGAATCCTAGTCCATGGCATAACTCTGAACATGGTCAAGGCAGGTCTTTCCTTCTCAGAGCCATGTACAAACACACTCACTGATACATCCAAAGCTATACCTCCTGGATGAATTAAAATCCTGTTAAATGGAGGATCAAAGTACCATCCAGGGACAATTTTTAAGTACCAAAATATAGACACTTTGTGATGTAATTTCCCAATCCTCAGTTATATGATGTAATTATAGATTGAGTCACTTTTCTTTATAGATTTATAACCCCCACACACATACACACAAATAGGATTCTAGTCCTGGCTCTCTTTGTACCTAAAATCTCTTAAGCAAATTAATATGAACCTATAGGACACATTTTGTCTCAGTTGACTCCTGAATTAAATATTTCATTGATAAACATCCACCCACTGAAAACGCTATGTTAATAATAGAACACGCAACACTTCAAAAAAAGATAGAGACTGAGACTCACACTTTATTTTAAATCAAAAGCTCTTTTACTCCGTGGTCACCTGATAGTTACACTGTGGTGCTTTTAATAGTGATAGAACACTCACACTTAGGTTCCAGCACTGCAGGGTCCCAGAGGGAAAAGAACAGCCATTAATTTTAAAATATATTTAAGTTGAATGCATCAAAACCTCTCATGTTTAATTAAATTTTAATATTTTTATATTAATTATAGTTGATTTATTTTGTATCCCAGCTGTATCCCCCTCCCTCATTCCCTCAAAACCACTCATTTTATGACTCACTTAACATCCTAATATGTCTTGAAGAGAAACCTGCATTTAAATGGTTGTGTATAGAGGGTGCACAATGATGATTAATGAGGTTCATAATTACACAAATCACCGCATATTTATTTTGACAATGGATTATTTAGAATATATTTGCTTATGTAAATTGGATATTTATGAATAATGCGTGTGAATGAATAATGGCATAAGTATACACACACGCTCATACGCATACACACGCTCATATGCATACACACGCTCATACGCATACACACACTCATAATTGCGCATGCAGAATGCCACATTCTGCCATGAAGTATCATAGCTATGCTTTGATACCTAGAACTATGATGTTTTCCTAGCTTAGTTCTTTGCAGTTTGGGAGATGGCTTAGCACACAGGCTCAAGAATTCTACTGGCTACATTGAGTCCCCCAGGTCTTCTATGGATTAGCTGTGTGAGCTGGTATTCACATAAAATATAATAATATCTTTTTCATGATCTTTCTAAGGATTAAGTGACTTCTTTATAGATGCATGGTCATATGAAGCATAAAAATTATCAAATTCTAAATAAACTTTGGATATTATGTTTGATCTTCTGATTTTTGCCTCTCTGGGAGGTAAAATGTTTTCTTTCATACCTGGAGCATGTGCTAACTTAGATTATGATTCCTCGCTATAACAGGTCATCATTATTTTAACATTACTAACATCATTTAACATTATTTTACATTGTTATTTTAACAGGCCTTCCTTTTATTATGATGGTTCTTATAATCATCACATTTTTTCTATGATCCCTTTGGACATTTTAATTATAATAAATAGCTTTAGACGGTATGGGTTCTACATGAGCTATGTTGCTTTCCAGAAATGAGTGGGTGCCTTCACATTACTTTCAGAAGACCTTTAGTCTGTTGTGTAAATGCGGTAGGGTTGTAACAATTTCAGAATCTTTCTTGTGGTCTGCCTACATCTTATCTTCCTTTATTTCCGTTCTTTCCATACTTATAAATGGGAGCCTTCGTTTCTCTTCTTCGCTTTCAACATCTAGAAAAGTGTTTGGTATGCAGCACACTAATAAATGGATCCAAAAATCATCACAACTGTTTACTTTTAAGGTCCTACCAAGATCTATTAATTTAATTCCAGACTCAAGCTACCTTTTACAACAAGTAATAAAGAGACAAACCCTTCCTTAATGTTTGTGGCCCATTGGCCCTAGATCTCTGAGTAGAGCAACTCCGATTTCTCAAGCAATGTAAAAGAATGCATCATTTGAATGTAACCTTCACATGTACTCCTCCATATTTTAAATAGTTTCTAAGATGTTACCTGTGTCTAATAGACTGTAAATGCTATGTAAGTAGTTGTTACGGTTTGTTGTGTAGGAGATAATACCAAGAAAGCAATTCTATCCACTTGCATCTGTTTGGCACAGATGACTTTCTCAAGCATTTTCTATTCATGGTTGTTTGAATCCACATGTATAAAACCTGTAGATAGAGCAATGTAACTGCTCTAAATTCAGTAATTCATTATTTTCTTAGAATTCCTCTTTTTCTTTCTTTTTTGTTTGTAGAGATATTATTTATTTTGTGTGAGATCTGATGTTATCATTTTTTTTTCATTACAACCCTCCCACCCACAAGGCCTGCTCAGATCCTACTCTGCATGCCTTAGTCATCTGCAGCTCACATTCATCCTCCTCCAGATGTTGCTTGTAGCTATGTATTACAGTTGGTGTTTAACCATTTTTTTTGTTGTAAATGGTTATTTGAACCTACTGGGTCTCCCTTTAGCATAGGGTTTCAGTTTCACTTGCGTATTGACCACAGATAAGTAGCAACTATGTGATAACTGAATGTTTAATGAAGAACATACTCAGGATGGAATACTGAATCCAGAGATAGGCTAGCTTCATAAGAGTGAAAGAGGTTTTCTTTACTATGCTGCCTGGAGATATTTGTCAAGGGATGACTAAACAAACTTGTATTTTGAGGTGTATGGTAATGAATAAAAAGAGTGCCTACACACGGTATCCAGTGCAGCATAGCTAGTCTCACTTTGAGATGACATCATCTCACTCTGAGCACCTTGATTTTCTTATTTGACCGTATGGAAAAAACAGACCCATATTACCACATTGAGATGATATTTGATGGCATGGGTGGGTGGGGGTTCATGTTTCCAAAATCAAGACTGGGATGAAGACTGCTTCAAGTTCCTTTGTTCCTTATATAATTCCTATGTGAAAACAAATAGAATGAAATCCTCGACAGTACCACCAGTACTTCTTTTGCTCTTCCAGTACCAGCTCCTGTGACTCCTTGCATGGTCGTAGACCATGGCATGGACTGGATGAGAGTTTTGTCCAATGAGTGGTCCTATCTCAGAAAGCTCTACACCCCTTATGTTTATTTGAGGTGATAGCTATAAGTTTTCTCTCCACTATTTCCCAATGAGTTTTAAAGGTGTTCACTTTTTGCCTTGATTTATCTACAGCACAGATTACTACTCTTTGTAGATGTTTCATTTTGTAAAATACTTTCATCAGTAGTGTTCAATATTGTGCCCATCACAGGTCTGTGAATGTCTTTGGGCAAGTACCAAACACATAGAACATAACAAAAAAAAAATTGCCAAAACAAAACAAAAAGTGCACCAGAATCCATGGAATATGTTTTGGGTTGGTCAACAACTACTGTGTAAAAAGCAATTGATGAAAAATATCAAAGAATAAGAAAGAATAAAGACCTAGAGTAGTGATTCTCAACCTTTCTAATGCTGCGACCCTTGGATACATTTCCTCATGTTTTGGTGACCCTCAACCATAAAGTTATTTCAACGCTACTACGTAACTGTCATTTTGACTACTGTTATCAGTTATAATGTAAATATCCGATATGCAGGATATCTGATATGTGGCCCCCAAAAGGGTCATGGCCCAGATGTTGAGAACCACTGACCTAGAGTTTAAGTGACTTGTTCCAGGTCACACATTCAAAAGGCAACAGCGGTAGAGTTGTATCAAACTCATGTCACCTAATTATCAACTTGGTGCTGGCTCTACTATAAGGAAAAGGGAATTTCAAACTCCCATGCTCCTTGTGCTAATGGTCTCCTTTCTCCTTTTTGACAGAGGCATCCATCCTGAGCTACGACGGCAGTATGTATATGAAAGTCATCATGCCCATGGTAATGCACACAGAGGCAGAAGATGTGTCCTTCCGCTTCATGTCACAGCGCGCCTACGGGTTACTGGTAGCCACTACCTCCAGGGACTCTGCAGATACCCTGCGTCTGGAGTTGGATGGTGGGCGTGTCAAGCTCATGGTTAACTTAGGTATCGTATGAAGGACCCTCTGTCATTCTGTTTGGGCTTGTCTTCCCTTCTTTTCTGATTTTCATTGGATTCTTTGTTTTTTGAAAGTTAGTTGCTCACCTCTTGTTTAATAGACCATGGATTAAAAGCCAACAACAACAAATACCTTCTCCCTGTTTCTGCATGAGGGTTTGATGTCAATTTTTTGGTTTCTGACAGTGGTGATTTCTTTATTAGATTATTTGTTTTCTAAGTTTCCTTTCTTGATTTTTTTTTAATTGTTTAGCTTTGTGTAAAACACGCTACTTTGGTCCATCTTTTGATCAATCAGTCATAATCTCATTAAACCCGTTGCCCTGGTCACCACTCAAAACAGTCAAAACTAAGGACAGGAGCAAGAAGGGGAGGAGGCAAAATGAGAGGGTGGGTAAGAGAAGGCTACATTGTGTATTGCTTCTAGTTCTATAGTGACTATTTCTATGGATGATTCTGGTGGTCCTGATGTCACTGAGATCTGAGTTTTATTCCTAGTAGGACAGCAGATTACATTGTCTTTTTTATCTCATTGGAAATGGTCTTCCAAGTTCAGAGCATTTGAGTATGGAAGGTGTGCCTCCTGATACATACACCTGTTTTCTTCCCTGGTGTTCTTAATTACTTGGTATAAAGTAATTATAAAGACTACTGCCTCATAATGGTCTAAAGACTACTGCCTCATAATGTCTGCTAGCTGCCCTGTTCTCTCTATGTTATGCATATCAACTTTTCCCTAGATCTGAAAAAAAATGATGATATTTTCAAATTTGTGGCTTTTTTGAGTAAAGATGTATTCTTCCTCTGCAGTTATCTACAATCGATACGACTGAAATGCTCCACCTTACAGCCTCACATTGTTCCCTGCTATAGGCTCTTGTTACTGGATCCTAATTATTTTCAGTGGAGAATGGGGACCTCTTGGCTTTGAAAGGAAGTAAACAGTTCTGTTTCTGCTCTTTTTCACTCATCAGAAAGCCAAATGCTCAGATGATGTCAGCATTAATGATTTAGTTGGATCCACAATGCTAAGCTAGTGGATGTGTGTGGGTTTGTAAATCACGTTTGGATATGGAACTCTTTTATACAGGATTGTTAGAGACACGGACAAATACACCTGGTTCAAGACCATAGAAAACCCTAGTTGTCCTGGCTGAAAGGTGGGGTTTTGAATAGACACTACTCTTACCTGCTACCAGGTCAAATAATAATAGTTCCAAAATATGGAAACTTTGGGGATATGGAACTGTTTTGAGTAGTGGCTTATTTAGTTCTGTGTTTTTATTTTACTTGTAGCTTTTAATATTTATGACACAGTGCACTTTTTCTGTCTAAACTCATCTGCTTTTTGTTTTCGGTGTGTCTCTTGGTTTTCTCTTGTTTTTGTATATGTATTTGATTATTTTATTCTGTTATTCTGTTGCTGAATTTTTTATTATATGTGTATCTATAGTCTTGAGTTTTCAGTCCTCCTCATCATCCACCATGGTAAATCAAAAGATGGTATTCAACCCTTCAAAGGCCCAAAGCCTGCGGCCCGCATAGCAAACAGCCTTGAGAACAGAGAGTACTGAGAAGCCAGCAGGGACTGGCATACCTCTGCCCCTCCCACCTTCCCTCCCACAGCACCCTTCCCACCTTAAGAGAACCAAACTAAGCATGTTACATTACCTAAAACCAACAACCAGATACTATGACTTACTTTTCCGATAAAACAGCAGAAACAAAACAAAACAAAACAAAACAAAAAAACAACAATCCAAAAGTATAATGCAAAAGATAAAACTGAATATCAGATCCTTCATGGCTCACCCCCAAAGAGCAAAATACAATCTTTCCATGTGTCACCTTTGAAGTAAGAGGGATATGTACATGTAATCAAGAATGAGCCCCATGGCATCCCAGGGTGTGTATTCCTGTGTTTCAACAGACAATTTGTTTTACTCATTAAATGTTGTTGTATAAAGGCTATGAAGGAAACCTTGACAGCTGTCACCTTCCAAGGAACACTGAAGCCAGAGAAAGGGATAAAAGATGAGCAATGAGAAAAAGAGATGAAAGATTCTCTCCTCTATCCCCTCCTCCCGAACACTCACATACAAACGTACACACACAAGCTAGTCATAGATGCTAAATGTATTCCTAAATAATGCACCATTTTCACCTCTTCTATTTTAAATAGTGGCTAAACCTGAAACTCAAGCCTTTTAAAAGGACAGCTTTTGCCTTTCGACATTTTGTTGACTCACACTCCATCGCTGAGACAACCTGGCCTAAAGAATCTCACTGTCATTAGAACACTGTTCTCCCACAAAAAAGGGAGAGTTTTTTTCCTGCTCCCATTCACAAATATTTCTTCGTTCTCACAAAGTCATGTCTTCTTTCTATTAACTATAGAAGAAAATCAGCTCCAAGCACAGTTTGCATCCACACATTGCCTCTCCCAAACTAACCTCTCTTCTATTTCTTTTCCTCAGTCAAGGTCTCACTCTGGAGACAAAGCTAGCCTGGAGTTCTCTGTAGTTCAGGCTAGCCTCTTGGGCATTTGTAATTTAAGTTGCTCCTCCTTTAAAGCACACATAAAGGAGATTCAAATTCATTCAAATTGCTAACACATGTGAGCTCCTGTGAGTAAACCTGAGATGTATTTTTTTCTGGCGTAACTTAGCTTCTACATGCCAAGGAGGCTAAAGTTTCCCTAAGGTTTCGTTTTTATATGTGGCCTTAGCAGCCACATATAAGATATTGTACACCAAGAAGCATGATTTTAAAAGTTATTAAGCTGGTTGTTGATGAACCAGTATTTGCTCCTTGTGCAAATTTGGCCATCAAAGCACATTTAAAGATCCCAAAGACTGCTTCATTTTAATCTAGCAACCATTTTAAGAGCTAAATCAGCAAAGGTTTTCTTTTCTTTTTTTTTTTTTAAATCTTTGCTTTTGTAGACATGAGACTTCTGTAGGAAGTTAGTAGCAGAGATGAGAACCCCTGCTTCTAAACCGCTAGATTCTGATGTGTTGTGTGTTGGCTCTACAGATCTATATTATGGTATATTATATTACATTTAGTGATGGAATTATCTTAATGGCAACATTCATGTCAATGACTTTTGAAATATCCACATAGGGGATCACTCTTTGCCTTAGTGCTCAGTTTAAATTGAGCCTCTTTACAGTAAAACCTTTGGCTTCCTCAGCAGTGCTGGTAGCCTCCATCCATGCTAAAGACTCTAAGGGCAGTGTTAGGTATCCAGCCAATCACATTTGAATTCTCCAGATAGTCTTTCTTCTGGCATTTGTTGCTTTTGCATAACTGCAAACACACAACACATGGCTTTTAGAAGCAGTATGGTTTCCAGACTCAACGCAAAACTCACCAGTATGGAAAACAATAATTTCTCCCACTTCACTGAAATAAAGCAAAGGAATTAAACAAAACAAATAACGTACATATACACACACCCAAATGCACTTGGGCAGGCTTTTTTCAGTCAGAGAGAGCACTCTGTCTGCTACAGAAGATAGACAAGAAGGGTGTGACCTTCCCCAAATCAATTCTCCTGGATTATTTTTCATTACATAATAAAAAAAAATACATGCTTTCATCAATAAGACTGTAGCATTGGAACTTGTAAAGAAGACACTGGAGAAGAGTTGTTTCCATAAAGCACTTATTCTTTAGGTAAACTAATAAAATAATTCAACATACTCTTACATGAACACAATTTGCATTATTCCTGAAACCCCCAAGTTCTCATATTGATTGAAAAGCACAGTTTAGACTTCATGGATCTACGTGCATGACCAGGTAGATGAACCCAACTGAAACACCTCTCCTTATGTCAGACTTCTGTCTAATGATGAAATCCTCAGCTTCCCACAACCAAAGAGAAAAACTCTTTCTTGTTTGCAGTGCTTGGGTTGGTGGCTTTAGGTCCAGTCCTCTTTCCCCCTTTCCTAAGCATGTCTGCCCATACCGTTTCCCTTCCTTCTTCATTGGTGAGTCAGAAAGTTATTTCTCCAGCTTTGGGTGAAGTTAGGTGTAAGCAATAGTTCAAGACCCACCCCTCCTCCCTGCTTGCCCACCTCTCCAGCCCTCATAGGGGCATGGCCTCCTCTGTCTGGTGATCGTACCAATTGCTCCAAGGCTGTTTGCTCCCACTTTTCTGTTGCGGTTGACGACACATGACAAACCTAACCGCACGAAACCAAACCCAGATTTTTTTCAAGAGATGTTCTTCTGGGGAGCAACAACAACAAAAGTTGCCTGCCTCTGTCTTTAGGATGACTGGGTATTTATTATAAATCGCTTGTAACTAGACTGAGCATAGTTCTGTCCTGCTGGGCAGGTTGCCACTAGTTCCTATTTCCCTTGTTCACTTAACATAGCTCACTTTAGGAGGCTCCAAATGGTGGCATTATGCTATACTAGTCCTCTGAAACCTATTGGCTGAACCTTAAGCAGTAGAAGAACATTGTTTTATAAATGGTATGTTTCCCTGCAGCTTTCTTTCTTTTCTCATCATTGACTTTGACCTTTCAATATCCAACTTTATGTAAATCTTGATTGGAATTCCCACCCTCATGAACCAACCCTAGGTTCATCTGGGCAGATTAGTAACAGTTACTAAGACATTTCTTCAGCCACTGATGCCCAGTTCCCACGGACACTCATGTACTATACTCAGGGATTCCCACGGTGTATGTGCCTGTGACTGCCAGACAGTGATTAATAAAGGAATAGCTACTCTGACTTCTGGCACAGAACTCCTAGTATGGTTGTCAGCAGGCAATTAGACAATTCTTTCTCATGTTTCCCATTGAAGAGATAAAACCCAAACCAAAGGATTTTCTCTCACTGTGATGTAGACTTGCAGGGTCAAATAAGGCAGGATGTCAAAGGTGCCTATGGCTTCCTCCACACGCGCCTGCCCTGCCTTCTCCCTGAATGCTGTAGACACTTCATTTCGTCTGGGCATTTGGGCAGGAAGACAGAGATGGGTTTCGTGAGTGGGTTGGTCTGGGAACCTTTGAACCAATAACAATCAGGAGAGCCAATCAATTGTAATAACGTTCTAGGGTTTTTTTGTACCCTACACTTGATTGACCCCACCTCTCTAAAATCTGTGATGGGTGTTTGTGCGGTTAGTTGTTTGCAAGTGGCCATTTTATGACAGGAAATGACCAGGTGGTGTTAACCCTTTCCTTATGCCTGAGGGTGCAAGTGTGCCTAGACAAAATTCTATAGTATTTGGGGCCCAACCGAAAGTGGGGGTGGAGGGAGTTGGATTTTAGAAAGAGAAAGGGTTAAATACTACTCTGTGAAACTTCAAGGGCATATTTTTTTTTAAAAAAAGATACAATGTGTCAGAATGGTGATTATATTTGAATACTAATTCAAAATTCTCATTAATGCTTTCAAAGGTCATTTTAAGGACACAAATTGTAGGAGGATATAATCTCTATTTTGTGGAAGAATTTTTCTAATTTTATAACTTTAACAAAATTAGCATTTCAAAATCTAACTGTATAATATTTTATACAAATGAAGAGGGTATTTTTGAAAACCAAAAAAAAAAAAAAAAACAAAAACAAAAACGAAAGTCTTGATGTCTATTGTGGATATATATGTATACCAGTATATATCTCTATACATATGTGTATATATATATGTGTGTGTGTGTATATATATATGTATCCAACTTTACTAATTAATATACTGTACATATACACCCACCCTTAATCTGGTACATATTGTATATGTATATATATAAAATGGCCACATTTCTTGCGTGTGTCTGTCCCCGGAAGGGTGGACTGATTGTTTTTGGATGTCTGCAGCTGTTACCTTGAAGGATGCAATTTCATCTTTCATTTATTTTTCCCCATCTAGACTGTATCAGGATAAACTGTAACTCCAGTAAGTTTTTCCTCAAGTTTCATTTTGTTCTTAAAAAAAAAAAAAAAAAAGAAAAACTGACTTTATTTTGTTCACTGTTTTATGAGCTGTTTTTATTTGGATTGCTTTTATTTTTTTTGACAAGTTTTGAGGGGAGCCAGAGGTAATGAGTTGGAGGGTTGGGGTGGTAGTACTTAAGAATCTTTGTGCTGCGGCTGGGAGTATGGTCCTGAATGGAGATGGGCCCTTCTCTCTTTTCCTTGCATTTGTTGTACAAGAAGAAAGGGAGGAAAGGGCTGTGAATCCTGCAGTCATGTGAAAAAAAAAATGAAATGGTGGTGATTTGTCTTCAGGAACTAACCCTTGAGGTAAACAAAAAGCTTTAGAGTAACCAGCATGCACTTCTCCACTACCCAAAACTGTAGGTGACAAATTCAAAGTTCATGATCTAGAGATGGCTGCCAACTCTGAATTTCTTCCCTGGCATTTATCACTGTAGTGGATTTGAGAGGGGTGGGCAAAGCCTGTTCTTAAAGATGATGCAACATTTTAACCAAATAGACTTACTATGTTCCTCTAAAGGAAGATACCATCCACCATTTTCACCATTGTCCATTCAAGCATCCCAGCCCTTGATAAAAGACCCGAAGACCAAACATGATGAAAATGCCTCATTATCTTTCTTTCTCTGTCTTAAAAGTGATCATTAACTATAGGTGAAGAGTGAGAGAGGAAAGGAAGACAAAGAAATATGGAAACAAAGAACAGGCCATAGTGATTAAAAGGGAAAATATTCATTGAGTACTCTTGTATACCAGCTGGGCCTAATTAATACTCACTGCTATAACAAGAATTCCTAAAATTTCAGTGACTCAAAACAAAGGAAAAGTTTCTTTCTACTTAAGATGATGTCTGGTGCCAGCTGAGTAGCTTTCCCAGACCACTCCTTTCAAAGACATAATTCAAGATTGTAGTCTTCTTCCAAAAAGTAGGCCTATTCCTTAGAGAATTTCAGTTCTTCATCCACAGAGAGGAGAGACCTTTATGGTTAAACAGCCTGTTTCATTGCCTTGCCTGGAGGCAGCATTTCTATATACTTCTCTTTGCCAGCCTCTGTTCTGCATGTAGAGAAAGAAGTAAATGTAGTCTTTGGAACAGTCATCAAAAGCAATTCAATCATTTAAGCATTCAAACACACAGAAGTCATGGTGATATCCGGCCTCTGGTTTTTTCTTTACTAGACTCTTCCTGGGAGAATGAAAGCAGAGAAAGGATAATAAGCTAACTAACTTGTATCTTTCATTTTCTTGCTAATTCCATCGTGCAAGAATTATTTAGATGCTGGAGCAGCCTTCTTTCTTAGACATAGTATCAGGATGACAAATAGTTCTACACATTTTAGAAAAACATTCTTTTATAATGTAAGACAAAGTAAGAAAAATATATGTAAACAAATACTTCATAGAAAATTTTATGCATATCATGACATTACTTTCAGTTATTTTAAGCAACTTCCTATTTTGCTGTGTTAAAATATTTCTAATTAGGCAAAATTTCTCTCACAATATTTCATTAGCTAGAAGCCTAATTAAAACATTCTTATTTCCAAAGCCTGAAGTTTTGGAATTTTTTGTTGCTTTAAATATCATTTAGCGATATAAGCTACACCCCCTAAAGTCACTCAATCACATAATTAAGCCTTATAAATTTGTGCAGATATCACCTAGGTCACATTAAGAAAATTGCCATCACTCACCAGCTTCCTCACGTGGCCATCTGCATTTAATCCTTGCTTCTGCCATTAACTCCAGGCAACTACTGATGGGAACATTTTCTGCAAGTTTGTCCTTTCTGGATGTTTCCTGTATTGGAATCTTATGTGTAGTCACTTGAGTATTCTGTAAAGATTAGAGGATTCCTATCAGAAGATATTTTTCTTCTTTCTCTTTGCACTGACTTATGGGGGAAAGAAAGACAGAAACTGAACATAAGGACATAAAGTCTCACATCCAGAGTGTGTAGGCTTCTGAAACTTACTTGGAGAAAAGTGAAGGTTATTTAATCAAGATGTCAACAGATGTTTTGTTTGTTAAAGCCCCGCTTATCCGTGAAGCCAATTTCATATATCCCATATGACTAATCCTAGACAGTATCAGAGATAAATATAATTACCTTTGCTAGGAAAACCTGATTGAACGTTTTCTATTCAGAACCATAGAAAGCGGCATTGAGAGGAAAACATCCTAGTGAGGATGTATTCTACAGCCATTTTGATCACAGCGTCAGGAGTATAACTGGTCTTCATTTACTAAGTGGGAAGGTCACATTTGATTTGAGGTCTTACTCTTCAGGTCTCATAGTAATCATTTAAGATGCTGATAGTTAGCCTCACAGAGCCCGTCAGTATAATAGGACCATAGCTGTCTAAAAAGAGAAAAGCTTCTTTAAACAAATGTAAAGTCTTTAGTACAGATTGCAGACATAGACCCAGACAGAGTAATGTGGAATCACAAAGTAAATGCAATACATTTTTCTAAAGTAGATTTTAGTGTTGAACTGTTGTTATGGTTGAAATTGGAACCAAAATGAAGCATTATGCAGAAGCCTGCAATAAATATGGATGTTTAAGGGATAAAAAAAGAACTCAAAGGCATTTTCTTTGTATGGATTATCTTCCCTAATCCATCTTTCATATTATTGGCACACGGATGGAAGAACTTAAGAACACTGTGCAACTAAATTTGGAGAGAAAACATGTACGAGGGGGTTAGAATACCTTCTTGTTGGTTTCACTGTCAGGAATCACAGCTTAGTCTCACTTGACATTTAAGTTGTTTCTTTAATAGAATAGAGGTTCTTGCTGCTTCTTACCCAATTTTTACCTAGAGTTTCATTGTATAGAAAATAACATCACCTTGTCCTGGGATAGGGAGGGAGGAGGCTTTCATCCTAAGCCTCGGCTTTGTCTCCTGTTGCCATCAGTGGAAGGCACAGAGTGTCTTCACGTAAGATTTTAATCTCTGCTTGGTGATTCTCTCATATTGGAGGCATATTGAATTGAATGAGTTAAGTTTGAATCCACATTCAGGAACATTGCTAGCATCTCTTTTACAGGATGTTGGGTCTCTGAAAAGTGACTCAGGGAAAATACTGGAGGTTATTTTGGTTGTGTATTTCCTGTTTATCTGCTCAAGGGAATTTGGGAAGTGGATATTTCTAAGGGATTTTGTGACATTCTTAAGAGAGAAGTTGAAAACAGTGATGGATGAGTGAAGTCTTGAGGTAGAGATGAAATTTTCTTCGGGAGAGTTTCCTTTTGGTCTTCTCATCAATGATTCTATCTAGCTCATGGTGAGGATTTCTTACCAGGAAGAAGCAATGAATTTCTACTCATAGTCCCTTGTCAAGACTGGGTCTCTTTTGGCAGCTCTGATATTCTATCATCACTTATTCTGAATCTTATTGCCTCTGCCTTCCAAATCCTTCTAGGGATGCCCATCATAAATTCCTTCATTGTTTCTATCATCCAACATATCAGAACATATACAACAAGATCTTTGGTTAAACTGAGCTCATCTCTGTATTTGATTCATCTGCCAAGAATTTGTTTAAAGATATTTGATAACAAAGATTTTAGCTTAGAACTAATTTAAAAAAAAAAAAAGAAAAATGCAAAAGAACAGAGTTGGCAGTCATAATGTAGGATTGAACTCCAGGTTGACCTGGCAGTCTACTAACAAAATCAGGATTACTCTCTGGAGAATTCTGGAGGAAACTGACTATTGCCATGGTTCCAGTTGCTTGAGGTGGGCCATGAACCCCGAGGTATCCCATTCTGAAAACAGGTAAGATGTTCTTTTTGATTGGAATGTTTGCTGGGATGACAGTATGGGACATGGTTTGCTGACTTTTACCTTACGTGATTATGATTGTGCCAGAATTACTCTAGTTCATTCTACAGGTTTCAAGTCATGTGACATATGGATGAATGGTAGATACTTTTATATTCACTAAGTATGGCCATAGTATAACTAAATCTAGTGGACACATATTGGCACATTATCAGTTTTCCCTTGTTTTCTCAACCTGAACCTACTCTCACAGGTTGGCAGCCCTATGCTGTGCCCTGTGGGAACTCATGCTTCATACTGTAGACATAGAAAACTCAACCTCTCTCACTAGTGACTTTGACTTGGAAGTTTTATTCATTTTTCTGTAATAGGCTCAAGTTTTTCTTAGACATACCTACTGGGGCATAAAAAATATAGACGTTAGGACACTCAGATGCCCAGGAAAACTTTTCTAAGCTTGTCTGCTTTCCATACACATGACATCAGCAGGAGGCACATACTGTCAGAGATATGTGAAACTTGCCATAAGGATTTATTCTTTCATATCCTGTCTCTGAAAACTACTCAGGTTTACTTTAGACTTCCTCCTGCTCTTGTATTAGCTTTCTTTATTCTGCCTGCTCTTTTGGCTTAGCTCCCTGCCTTCATTCTCCAAGCCTATTCCATTTATAGTTTTGACAAAGTCAACAGTGTGTGAGTAGTTCTTGTTAAATTTAAGCATAGCTTGGCAGGGTGCAGTTTATTATATTAGATATTTGTCTTTTACTCTCCTCCATTACTTCCTCTATACCTCCTTTCTTCCTGCTTCCTCTCTGTCTTGTCACTTCTCTACTCTCCGCAAAACAGTATCAGAATATGTGACTTGATCCTACTCCCTGATCAACCTGACTCACAGAACTGTTTTATTTCACTCATCTGTTTAACTCGGAAATGGCTTGTCACAGACTCTCTAGCAGGCTGATTCTTCACTCTTTTAGTCTTTCTGGCAGGAAATTCTAAAACTGTCTTTGGTCCATTCCCATCATTGAAAGCCACTTATCTTAAAGCGTTAGCTGATTGGGAAATCACAGAGTAAGATCCCATGCATAATGATGCTCTATTGATCTGTCTGTGAGCATGGTGCCTGAAAGTTTCCAGTTTTATACTAAATGATATTAGCCAAAATTTTTT